GGACTTCTATGGAAGTCTGGGGTAGTGCTTACTCTGGGTATAAGATTTAAAAGAGAGTTCAATCAATAAGAGAAAAGGGAATTAAGAAAGACTAATTCCTAGTTTCCTTAACATATATTTGGAATACAAGAGTTAGCTATTAATATTTAAGTAATTTTGTACTTTTCCCTTTCCTTATTATGATGAATTCTTATTGTTTTCCCAAAATGATTACAGACATAGACATAAACCTAGCAATACCATTTTGCCATAATGTTGGTAAAGCCTTAGAACCAAACCCCATTAAAAATCATGCAACATGCTAAGCTTTGTTAGCTCATTTATAACATCGTTCCTTTGGAACTAACTGCTTCCTTGTAATGTTTCATATAGCATCTTTTTTTTCTTTCTGGAAATTGACTAATGCCATTAGGTGGGATGTAAGTAAGGTAAGTAAGGTGGGATGTAATAAGATTCATTGCCCTCCTTTTTTTCCCCCAACAATTTGTGTTCAGTCGTTTCAGTTGTGAGTGACTCTTTGTGACCCTATTGGGGGTTTTCTTGGTAGATACACTGGAGTGGTTTGCCATTTCCTTCTCCGGCTCATTTTATTGATGAGGAATGGAGGCAAACAGGATTAAGTGACTTGTAGGGTCACACAGCTAGTTAGTGTCTGAAGCCAGATTCGAATTCAGGAAGATGAGTCTTCCTAACTCTAGGCCCATACTCTATCCACTGAGTCATCTAGCTGCCCTTCCCAACAGTTAAAGGAGGGATTTACATTGAATTTAGGGACAAAGGAAGGAGAAGGAGGAAGGAAACTCAGTGGGCCCCATGCAGGGAAAGCTGGGTGGTGACCCAGAGGCACCTCAGACTCATTTTATTATTTTATCTTTATTCCAAACTTACTTCTTTCTGTCAAGGGCACCACTACTCTTCCAGTCCACAGGTTTGCAGGCTGGGAGTCATCCTTGACTCACATTCTTTCTCACCCCTCACAACCAATCAGTTGCCAGGTCTTGTCCATATCATCTCTCACATCTATTTCTCTTTTCAGTGAAATGGCCACCACCCTACTTCAGATCATCATCGTCTCTCACCTTTGGCTGTTGCAATAGCCTTCCAATTGCTCTTCCTGCTCGTCTCCTCACTCCAATCATTCCTCCACATAGGAGCCAAAATGGTGTTTCCTATACCACCCCTCTCCTCATTAGATTCCAGTGGCTCCCAATTACCTCTAGGATAAAAATATAAAGCCCTCTGTTTGGCATTTAAAACCCTTCAGTCTGTTTCCAATTTGCTTTTCCAGCCTTGTTGTATATTACTTTTTAATGCACTCCAGTTCAGCCAAACTGGCCTTTTGTATCTCACACGTGACATTCCATCTTCCTTTTCTGTATCCTTTGCATAGCCTATATACCCCATGCTTGGAATGCACTCCCTTTTTGCCTCTGCCTTTCTAAATCCCTGGTTTCCTTCAAAACTCAGTTTAAGTTCCACCTTCTCCATGAGACCTTAATCTGTCTCTCTGGCTGCTAGTAGCCCCTCCTCCCAAATTACTTTGCATCTGCTTCTATCTGTACATACAATTTCCCCTGAGAGAATGTAAGCTCCTTGAGCACAGGTTCTGTTTTGCTTCTTTTATTTCCCAGTGCCTGGCACATTAAGCACAAAAGCATGTTGATTTAGCACATGCTTAATAAATGCATGTTGACTGACTGGATGATGGAAAAGGTAACAGCAGGCAGAAACAGAAATAGACATTGAGTCAAGTCCCAGGGTTTGCTGGAGGAAGAGAAATGGGGTACTGTGGCTTGGAGAACCAAATTCCTAAATCACAGTTTCCCAATGTACATTTTCCCTCTTGGCATGAGACTACTTCACTGGTACGATGCCATTCAACATATGCTTCTCAGTCCCAGGTACTTATGCTTTGGACACAAAAAGTCAACATCTTATGCAGGTACTGCAGGTAGCCACTGACCAGGGACAGGTGGAGAGCAGCTGATTGGAAAACTTGGAACCAACTGCCTGGATAAAGGATAACAGTGATGGCCTCCTCAGGTTTCAGGGGATAGCAGATGAGTCATATACAGAGGTAATTCAGGCCATCCAGAATATTCATGGACCACTACCTAAGCAAGTCTTGGCTTAAAGCAGAACGAAACACATTACAAGGGACACTAATAACAAGTGACATTTACATAGCACTTTAAATTTTGCAAACTACTTTTCGTATATTATTCTCATTTGGTCACTGCAATATTCCTGTATGGCAAGTGCTACTGAAACTGCTGTCTCCCTTTTATAATGAGGACAATAAGGGTATATGTGATTAGATAGCTTTCAGAGGGTTGTACAGATATGTTTGAGTCAGGATTTGAACCCAACATGTTTCTGACTTCAGGGCCAGTGCTTCATATTCACCAGATGGATAATCATATTCCATTGGGTGGATACGAAGGGCAGAGTCTGGGATGGCCCTGACCAGCGTCGATGTCCACAGCCCAGTTCAGAACTGCTGGTAAAGCTGAGTCAGATCATTGGGAATGGAGCAGGACAATTGTTCATGACATGCTGCTTCAAAAAGGGGTGAATGGTTCCTGTTTGGCCCCATGGGAGAGCACCATGAGGAATGGCTAGAAGTTACCAGGAGGCAAACTGAGGTTTGATGCCAAGAGAAAACAAAATTAGAGAGCTCTCATTTTATATCTGGAGCTGGTCTAGATGGATGGATGCTGAGATCCCTCAGAGGACCAAAATCCTGTCAATCTGTAGCTAAGGCAGCTAAGTAGCAGTCTGTGCTATTTAGCTTTTCCTCTTATTGCAAACAGCAGTTTCTGGTATTCTGCTCTAGCAGTATTCCTGGTTTGGTTTTTTTTTTTGGTGGCCCTGGAAGTTATGTAATCTAGGGCTTTTTTGTTGTTTTTGTTCTTTTGTGTATGGGGAAATAAAAAATGGCTTGCTACATATCTCTGCGGTTTTCTTCCTGGGCTTACTTACTCAGCTCTCCCTTTCTCTGCTTTTTCAGGATTTGAGGGAGCTGTTGGGCCATGTGGCCTTATATCATTTCAACACAACAGGGAGGAGGGAGTAATAACTAATAATCTAATTCATAGCATCTCAGTTGAAAGGGACCAATCTGTACCTTAATAGGAATTTTCTTTACAGTGTCAGAGTTGGGACTTCAGAAGCCATCCACTAAATCTAAACCTTAATAACAATCTTTACACCATTGCTGTACACTAGTCACTCCGCTTTTGCTTAAAAGTTGGAACCCATTACCTCTTGAGGCAGAACATTCTATGTTTTCACAGATGTAATTGTTGGGAATCTTTTCTTTATACCAAAGCAAGAGCCCAAGTTTGCTTTCCTGCTATTTCCACCCATTCCACAGAAGGCCAAGCAGTGCAAGTCTATTTTCCTTTTCCAGATGACAGTCTGCACAACAGGATGACAGACAACAATGATGTACTCAACTTAGTTTCTAGGCTAAGAATCCCAATCCAGTTCTTCCAATAGGCCATAATCTTCAGTCCCTTCATTATCTCGGTTGTCCTCATTCCATCTTTTTACTTGAATGTGTAAGTGGCATGATATTTAAGTTGCACTGTTGTTATGGTCTCAATTTATAGAAGCTATTTTCCATAGTATTTACATTTGAACTGAGTTAGAATTTTCCCTAAATAGTACATGTGCTTTATAGTTCAGTAAGACTTGTAAATTGCCTTCCTCTCTCAAAGCAATAATTCACAGGGTTTATCTGGAGACTAAATCTTTATTGATCTCACCCTATTGGCCAAAAGCAAAAAGACTTGTGTTGAAATCTTCACAGGTACCATTAGGGGACCCTCTCAGAATCCAAAGTAACCCAAAGCATAATAGCTATATAAAAGACAGAATATTCTTTGTTTTGAGGCACAATGATATTTAAATATTTCAATGTCAACACAAATTTACCTCTAGGTTTCAAACTCTGATTATCACCATCAAAGTACTTTGAAGACCTTACAGTCCTATGCACATGCTAGGTATTATTATTCTAACATTCTTTGATACTCTAAATCTCTAATAAAACGTGGTCTCATAACCACTAGTAAGTAAAATACTTTAATGTCTAAAATTTCTATAGCATTTGAAGATTTACAAAGTGCTCTATCTACAGTATCTCATTTGATTCTCACAATAACTGTAAGAAGTAAATAATATAAATACTATTTCCATTTTATAGATGAAAAAGGTCTGATAGAGGCTGAGTTATGTATGATCATAGATATTCAAACCCAGGACTTCCCTGACTTTGAATCCAGTGCTTTTCCCCTTCATAGTCAATTGCCTCTCTTTCAATTAAAACATGAGCAAATGTCTTATTTAAATGTTTGGAAATAAGCATTTCCTTCTTTTAGCAAGGCTATATCAACGTTTTAGTCACCAGAAGACCGACACTTGGAACTCACACTTTGCTCTGTACCAAGATTTTAGGAACAGATTTCACAATCTTTATCTCTATTTGGTGACAGTCAACTCTATTCATTTCCCACCAAAAACCTTCATACAACACAGATTGTTTATAATCAAAGGAATTGTTATTTATACTAACTTTATTTACTTCCAAGGTCTCCTTTGGCTGTATAAAGTAAAAGAGTATATTATAAAAGATGGCATATATAAAGAAACCCTAAATATTATGATTAATTGAACATAGCATCCAATCTTTGTTGATTTTAAACAGATTTACTCCATTATTAGTTGGTGTGCTCTAATTCCTAAGTTACTTCCTCATATTCATACAGAATTCAGATTCAAAATTGTATGGCAAGATAATTTACTTTTGACATCTTTTTTCCAAGTTTAATTTTATTTCAAAGGTTTTTTATAAGGTTGCATAACATAAGGAAAAGCACGGAATCCTATATTCATCTTCCACATTTCAGCAGCATAAAATTTTAATAAAAGAAAATTCCTATTTTGAAAGATGGCATTGTTCTAGATGAAGCAAAAATAATGTCCATGAATAACAATTCACTTGGATAAAATATAGAAGCACTTTATTTCATGGTTTGTCCAACTGAAGATCTCTAATATTATCACTCTTATGCAACATAAATCCCCTCATTATTAAACATCTTTTTTATGTCTTATTCATAATAGGCTCACAAAGAGAACTGTGAAAATCAGAATAGTTTGATTCCCTACTATGTGACATAGTAGAACATATCAGAGTTGCTTAATTCTTTTAGTTCTCTCAGGATCGATTATCTTCAATAACAATGGTTCTTCTAGGAAAGGCCTCAACATCCACAAATATATAGCGAAATTCGTATTTGCCACTTTCGGGGTTCTGAAAGTAGGAAAAACATACTTCAAGGTGTTATTCTTTCCAGCAATGTCAATTTCTAAGAATTTCATTATTTTCATACCTCTTTCATTTCAAGATGCACTGTTCCTTGCTTCCCTGGTACTGAGCCTTCAATGTAGAATTTCAGACGCATGTACTTTAGCCCATCTCTTACATATTCAATATGACTGCCAAGAAGATAAGCACATCATGTCTCAATGATTTTAATTTTCATAATTACTTAACTTCATTACAAGCAAAGTTATCATACCTGACATGTTGTCTTCTACCTCGCCTTGTTGATTCCCCATAACCTTTAATGCTGTGACCAAAAACACTGACTACCTATGAAAAAAAAAAAAGAAAGAAGCTTAAAAGTAAATGGCTTTTAAGATATTTCTCATGTAAAATATTCCTTTCAGGAAGCTTGAGATTTATTCTACCAAAAATCATGGTAGATTATTATGTCACAACTCCAGTCTTAAAGTAAAACAAAGACCTTGAAAGAAACGAGAAGAGTTGTTTTTGGGGTGATTTTTAGTTCTTAATTTTTTTAATGACTTCAATGCCCTGAAGGCTCAATCAAAGTTGAAGTGAAAAATTATTTTTATCAACCCCCCATTAAACACAAAAAAGGTCTCTGAAAACAAAATGTTCAGACATTCAGATACTAACAGCAGCTCATGATGTTAAAATCAAATGTTCAAAGATTTTAATTTGATTTAAAAAACAAAGTTTAATATGAGATGCTATTAAAACAAAATATTTTAAAAAGCAAATGCTAGAGCAATGTAGAAATCAATTATTATTGACATATTTAGAACAGAGTAGGTCTAGATGTTTTAATAAACTACTTCTAATGGGAAATTCATAGTGAAGCAGCTAGCAGTTTTTAAACAGAGTTTTAAATTATGTCCTTTTAGAAACCCTTACTAAGGCAAATAAATTGTTTCATCCAAACAAATTAAATATTATTCCCTTATGCTATATTACTTCTCTCACCCCTCTAATACCTTGTCTCTTTGTTGAGGCGGGTATTCAGTTTCTTTGCTTTCTGGCATAAATTAAAAAAGAGTAATGTTATAACAAATATGTCTCAGAACTGTGAAGTTGGAACAGGTGCAAATGCTTATTCATATAATTAATTTCAAATAGCAATAGATTAAATAAATACATCACAATAATTATTTCTTTCTATTAACTGTTTTGCTTGGTTAAACCTCAAGTTAACCTTTCAGATCATGCAAATTCTGACTGTGATGTCAGTCTTGGCTTCATTTGATGAAATTCTGCTTTGTTCAACAACAGTCAACATGCTCTAAGTGGATGAGTTCTATAATGTAATCTTTCTAGCTATGCTGTTATCCATACTGATTACTCCTATTATTTATACTTGGTTCTCCAGACACAGACCCTCTAGGCTGTATGCTGGCTTCTAAGAACTGAAAGATCAATGAAAAAGAGAAAACTTTGGAGAGTGCAGTAATTCCTACAAAGCCATAAAATGGCTTAGATTGGGGATGTGTGGGGAGGGAGAGATGGCTGTTTGATTTAATCTTTGGCCATGTATGACAATATCTTAATTGACATTAATGACACCAATACCTTTAAGTTAGTCATTCAAACTTTAATCTTTGTGAGAGCCTCCTAGTAACTGAGCTATTCCTGGGAAGTAAATCTAGCACTGTAAGTGAAGAATGAATTAATATTTTTTTGCCACTGGTATATCAAGTAAAATAATACTTCTGGGCACTAAAATGAGCCCTGGAAAAGTTAATACATCTCAGTTGAATACTTTGGCATATTTTAACCACATAAGAGTGCATTTTATATTACTAATAATTATAACACTAGCATGAATTTTTGTTTGAGTTTCATTTGGAAGGGCTCAAAATGCTTCGTATATAGGATCTTGGATACAGATATGAAATAGATCTTATCGGCCATCTATTTCAACCTCCTCTTTTCTAACTCGAAACCCTGCACTCTTTTCATTATACCACTCTGCTTCTAATATAAAATCACATTTCCCCCTTGGGAATGCAGTATTATAATCCCATTTAGAAATAAGAGGTCAGGTTGCCTGAAGGACACCAGCATTCAATTTAACTCAGTACTAGAATCCTGTGTAACACGCTTCCCACCAGCCTTTCTTGTCTCCATTTTATTTTCTAGTTCATGTGTGGTAACAATCTTAACAACTAACCTCTGGATGAGATCTGCATTTTTCTAAGGCTTTTCCATAAATCTTATTAGGACTGGATGAGGAGAAAAGTTCTTGGAAAATCACATAGAATAAGCCACCTGAAATCACAGGATAAGCAAATGAAAACAAAATAAGATCTAATTAAGGCAATGTGTAAATGGAGAAATTTAGAAATTGTACTTGCTATTTTTTTCAACCTGTGACACTGATTCCAATAAGCACTATTATTAAATAGGTAAAATCTCTTCCAGCTTCTTTCACTGTAAAGGGAAAACAACAAAAGTTATACATGAACTATATACGTACCAATAAAATTTTGGTACCACTTGTGCAAGGGCAGCTAGATGGCACAGTGAATTGAGGGCCAGGCCTGGAGTCAGGAAAATTCATCTCCCTGAGTTCAAATACGATCTAAGACACTTACTAGCTGTGTGACCCTGGGCAAGTCACTTAATCCTGTTTGCCTCAGTTGCCTCTTCTGTAAAATGAGCCAGAGAAGGAAATGGCAAACCACTACAGTATCTTTGCCAAGAAAACCCTAAAAGAAGTTATGAAGAGTTGGACACGACTGAAAACAACTGCACAACTACTAATGAGTCAAAAACATGGGGTCAGTGTTTTAAATGGTGTTTTCCCAAATAGGTTTAAAGAACTACAGTTTTAAAGACTATAGTTTAAAGGCCATTCTTAACATTTTTATTGGTGTCTAGTGAAGCCTATGGATCCCTTCTCAGAAGAATGTTTTTCGATAATGGAGGGAAATGCTAAATTTCAGTTAGAAGTGGGTGAAAATAAAGAGGAGTTATAGCTTAAACATGCAAGCCCCACTGCTTCAAGGGGTCCAAATACCTGAGGTTATATATGTGGAAACCAGCACTAAAGAATATTCTTCTAGTTGATGATTTTCAAATGGTAACCAATCAGTCTCTAAAGCGCTTTATTTAAAACTGTTAAGACACCACCTGTGCAAAGACAATTCTTTCTGCAGTTCTCAAGATAACTGCTCCAATATCCTGCCCAGAGTTTTGTGAATTGTAAACCACTGTGTACTATAATAAGAATACAACACTACATAAATTATGCAAAGGGAGCCAGAAAAAACTGACTTTGGTAATTTGTTTGTTAAAGACTGAAATAAAGTCTTGGCTTCAACAACTTAGTTTGTCATCATTTTCTAGTAATGTCACCCCCACTGGATAGGCCAAAGACACATTTCAGTAAGCAAGAATGGAAATTGAAAGGGAATTTGGGCAGCCCAAATGATTTGTAAACTGAACAGATGTGGGGAATGCCCTGTACTTTTCATGTGGCTTTCTCAATACAGATAAAAATATTCATTATACTTCTAACAAACAGGTTCATTTGTGGAAATTGAAGAACGTTTCATGAATGGATTAAATATAAGTTTTGAATTCAGCTAGACTACTTCTAGAAGCAAAGGTATTGGAAAATATAATTTAACTGTAAGGAACATTTGATATTGAAAACTAACTTACATTCTGACATATCCATAAACAAATTTGTACATGATTAGTTCCTTCTTTTTCTGTGGTTAATTGAAATAATTAAGTAATTTTTAGTTTTCAACATTCACTTCCACAAGATTTTGAGTACCACATTTTCTCCCCGTCTCTCCCCTCCTCCCACCCCAAGACAGTGTGCATTCTGATTACCCCTTCCCCCAATCTGCCCTCCCTTCTATCACCACCACCTTCCCTTCTCTTATCCCCTTCCCCTTCTATTTTCCTGTAAGGCAAGATAGATTTATATACCCCATTGCCTATATATCTTATTTCCCAGTTGCATGTAAAAACAATTTTTAACATTCGTTTCTAAAAGTTTGAGTTCCAAATTCTCTCCCTTTCTCCCCCACCCACCCTCATTGAGAAGGCAAGCAATTTGACATAGATTATGCACATGTAGTCATACAAAACACTTCCATAAGTCATGTTGTGAAAGATGAATTATATTTCCCTCCATCCCATCCTGCTCCATTCATTCTATTCTCTCCTTGACCCTGTCCCTCCTCAAAAGTGTTTGCTTCTGATTATTCCCCCACCCCCCAATCTGCCCTCCCTTCTTTTATCCTCCTCTCTCTTATCCCCTTCTCTCCTATTTTCCTGTAGGGTAAGACAGATTTCCATACCCAATTGAGTGTGTATGTTATTCCCTCCTCAAGCTAAATCTTATGAGAATAAGATTTACTCATTCCCTCTCACCCTTCCCCTCCTCCTCTCCACTATAAAAACTTTTTTTTGTTTCTTTTATGTGAGATGATTCTACCTCTCCCTTTCTCCTTCTCCCAGTACATTCCTCTCTCACCCCTTAATTTTACTTTTTAGGTATCATCTCTTCATGTTCAACTCACCCTGAGCCCTCTGTCTACATATGAATTCCTTCCAACTACCCTAGCACTGAGAAAGGTCTCATGAGTTACAAATATCATCTTTCCATACAGGAATGTAAACAGTTCAACTTTAATAAGTCCCTTATGATTTCTCTTTCCTGTCTACCTTTTCATGATTCTTGTATTTGAGTCTTGTATTTGAAAGTCAAATTTTCTATTCAGCTCTGGTCTTTTCATCAAGGATGCTCGAAAGTCCTCTATTTCATTGAATGTCCATTTTTTCCTCTGAAGGATTATACTCAGTTTTGTTGGGTAGGTGACTCTTGGCTGTAATTCTAGCTTTTTTGACCTCTGGAATATCATATTCCAAGCCCTCTGGTCCCTTAATGTAGAAGCTGCTAAATCTTGTGTTGTCCTGATTGTGTTTCCACAATACTTGAATTGTTTCTTTCTGGCTGCCTGCAATATTTTATCCTTGACCTGGAACTCTGGAATTTGGCTATAATATTCCTAGGAGTTTTCCTTTGGGGACCTCTTTCAGGAGGAGATCAGTGGTTTCTTTCAATTTCTATTTTGCCCTCTGGTTCTAAAATATCAGAGCAGTTTTCCTTGATAATTTCTTGAAAGATGATGTCTAGGCCTTTTTTGATCATGGCTTTCAGGTAGTCCAATAAATTTTTTTTTTTCTTGGTGAGGCAATTGGGATTAAGTGACTTGCCCAGGGTCATATAGCTAATAAGTGTCAACTGTCTGAGGTCAGATTTGAACTCAGGTCCTCCTGACTCCAAGGCCAGAGCTCTATCCACTGCACCACCTTGCTGCCCCAAGTCCAATAATTTTTAAACGATCTCTCCTGGATCTATTTTCTAGGTTTTTTCAATGAGATATTTCACATTGTCTTCTATGTTTTCATTCTTTTGGCTTTCTTTTATTATATCTTGATTTCTCATAAAAATCATTAGCTCCTATTTGCTCCATTCTAATTTTTAAGGAATTATTTCCTTCAGTGAGCTTTTGGGCTTCCTTTTCCATTTGGCCAGTTCTGCTTTTTAAAGCATTCTTCTCCTCATTGGTTTTTTGGACCTCTTTTGCCATTTGGGTTAGTCTACTTCTTAAGGTGTCATTTTTCTTCAGTATTTTTTGGGTCTCTTTTAGCAAGTTGAATTTTTTTTTCATGATTTTTCATGAAAAAATTTTTCATGATTTTCTTGTATCACTCTCATTTCTCTTTCTAATTTTTCCTCTATTTCCTCTTACTTGCTTTTCAAATCCTTTTTGAGCTCTTCCACATCCACCAATTCATACTTTTCTTGGAGACTTTGGATGTAGGACCTTTGACTTTGCTGCTTTCTGGTTGTATGTTTTGATCTTCTTTGTCGCCAAAATGAGATTCTATAGTCTGAGTATTTTTCCATGGTTTGCTCATTTTCCCAGCCAAATACTTGACTTTTAAACACTTTGTTAAGGTAGGGTGTGGAGGGTGTACTGTTTCAGGCTTCAGGGGTTCTGTGCAGCTGTTTGCAGAGATGCTTCTAGGGACCTGTAAATTTTCAGTTCTTCCAAGGTGGTATGATCAAAGGAGAGGTGTCTACTCCTTTCCTGGCCTGTGTTCTGGTCTATGAATGACCACAAGCACTCTTTTCTGTCTTGGAACCGTGAGGAGGATTCTCTCTGTACCACAAGCTCTGCCTAGCCAGTGCTCCTTCTTGCCCCAGGACTGTGATCCAGACCCAAGCATGGGCAAAGCAGGAGAATCCCCCCTCACTGCCAGCAAAGAGATCCCTGCAATCCTCCTCTGATCAGCTGCTCAATCCCCCAACCACCATCTGTGGGCTGAGAGCTTTGGAAGCAGCTATAGCCCCAGGGCTAGGGCCAGACTGAACTCTCTCTCACCCAGGTCTGACAGAGCTTTGCTACTGACCTTCTAAGCTGTCTTTGGCATTTGTGGGTTGAGAAGTCTGGAGACTTCCACAGCTGCCAGTGATTCAGTCCCCTGAAGCCTGCTCTGGGTTTGCTGAGGCCCAGTTTGTGCTGGCACGCTTTGCCCTGGACTGCACCGTTCTCTCAGACTGGTGCAACATATTTTTCCTGTCGGCCTTCCAGGCTGTCTTGGGCTGGAAATTTATTTCACTCTGTCATTTTGTGGTTTCTGCTGCTCTAGAATTTATTTAGAGTCATTCTTACAGGTATTTGAAGGGGTTTGGGGGAGAGCAAAATCAGGTCCCTGCTTTTATTCTGCCATCTTGGCTCTGCCCTCATGATTAATTCCTTCTTAAAAAAAGTAACTAGGATCATATACTTCTCCCTCATAGTTTGGAACATAGGTTCTTAAATGAAATGAGATAGTACAAATACCAACTGTGTTAAAGATAACTCATCCATCTAAACCTGGGTTTAGATGTATTGTTCACTGTATTGTTCCAAACAAGATAATTCTCACCACATACCCAAGGTTGTCACCCAGTCTCCCAATAAAGTTTCAGAAGTGGAGACAGCTTCAGTGAGCTTTGTCCATATTCAATATTTGGATTTTCCCAAAATAAAATAATGCAAAGTAACAAATAATGTACATGCACATCATATGACCTTATTCCCCAAAGTAAATTATTTGTTCTCTTTTGGGTCAACTAGACCCTTCTTGATGCCAATTCTCCTGGTTTAGATAATGCCTTTTTTCTTAATCTTTCAATGAATAATACTTCATTATACAGAGGTAGAGCTGTGGCAGGGCTCACACTCAAACCCAGGCCCTCCAACTCCAAACCCATTTCCAATACATTAGAATGTCTCTCCAACAGAGGGCAACCCACTGATTTTATTTACTACTTGCAAAGAAGCCCTGTGCTAGGTCTTAGCCATATTGTATTTATTCTTTAAGACACACTTCAAGTCCAACTTCCTCCGTAAAACTTTACTTAATGAGTCTATCCCATCCTAATCTCTCTATCTGTAGCATAATTAATACCTTATTATAGTCTTATTTTCAAACAGCCGTGGCTGCACTTTAATACCTTATTGACTAGTTCTCACTCTGTAATTATTTTATGATGTGTATCCTACTTCCCAAATAGGGAGCACTTTAAAGACATGGAAAGATGGCTTTTGTACAACCAGAGAACATAGTGCATTACTGGGCTCTTAGGAGGGTCTCTAAATACTTCTTGAGTATGACTAAAATAATTGCATGACAATTAAATAGGAATTTTTTCTTTTTCTTTCTTTCTTCCTTCCTTTTTTTGAGCTGGGTTCTAGTCGTTTTTTCCCCAATGGATACTAAAATAGTCTATAAGTGGTTACTCCCCTCCCCCTCATTATTTTCCAGGTGTAATGGAGCAGATTATGAACAAATATAATTAGAAATGAAAAGGACCTTAGCAATTTTTTGGTCCACCCTGTGGAGATTTGGGGGGTTCCAGCACTGTATGGGGAAAGCCTTTACTTCAATACTGTAATTCCATGTACCTTATTTGATGCATTTTAAAAATATTCTGAGAATGGGTCAAAAGATTCACCAGACTGCCAAAGGGGTTCATAACACATAAAAAAGTTTAAAACTCCCTCTAGTCCAACTCCCTTTTTTTTTCTTTTACAGAGAAGGGGACTGAGGCCTAGAGAGATGAAGTGGCTTGACCAAAATAACACAAGTAGTAAACAGCAATTTAGTAGGATTTTGATACTATTAAATGTGCTGAGTGCTCTAATTTGCTGAGGAAATGTCAAGTCTGTATTCCATGGCTCTGGCTGTGTTCATATTCTGTCTTTGTGTCAATTTGCCTTTCTTTTCTTTTTTTCTTATTTAAACACTGCATCTGATTTAAAAGGCACAAGCAACTCACTGGTTATTACCTCTCTGTGAAGTTGAAAGAGCAGGTCCTCCCCTCTGACTTTTCTGCACAGACACTTGTTTGCTGCCGTCCTCTTCTGCTCTCAGGGCTTTGTTTCCCTGAGTCCAGATGCCTTTCTGAGTGACCCTAAGGATGCGTCTAGGTTGCAGTACAACTTCCCTTTGCTCCAGGAGCCCCCACCTCAAACATGGCCACGTCTTAATATAGGCTTTGTTAAAGGGGACCAGCTGGAGCAAAAGCAGTCGCTTCCCAGGGGAGCTGTGTAGCTTCTCTGTGCACTGAATAGCTCGAAGTAAAGACGCAGAAATCATGCTCGGAGAAAGACGTTCCCCGGCCAGAACCTACCACCAGCCACACTTTGCAAGAGTTTAGAGTCTGCACGCCCGCCCAGACACCCACCGCGGTCTGCAGTGAGTGACCCCTAGAACCACAAGCAGGAGCACAGGGTTCATATAGCAATGTGAGCTGTAGCGATTTCTAATTAAAATGAAGATACCAATGGAAAAATTAACTTCTACCTGCTTTCCTTTGTGGCCCTCCTCTTACTCAAACAGAAACGACAACTTTTACCCACGACACCCTGACATTCATATACCCCCCGCCATTGTATTTCCAAAGTTTCCTGGAAAATATCGAGGATCCCTGGGACTAGTAGTTTGCAGATAGACTTGCCCGCCGTAGGAAAGTAAAAACGGACTACAAATTCCATAACGCAATGTGTGTGGAGCTCAATTTAACCCCCTCGCCACCTCAGGGTCTTGTTTGAAAGTAGCACGGGCTGCACGTAATTGAAATACAAGAATGAACTATGCTTTAAAAAAATTGTGGCAAGTTTAAAATTTTCTTTCCCCCCTTCTCTGCAGTTTAATTATGCGCTGTCCCTTTAAACTCTCGCAAAATCAAGAGTTATATGGATATTTAATAACTATAAACGGCAAATCTCATAGTACCCTAAATTAAAAGGATTGTGCAAATTGAATTGGCTTAATTTTAATTCCTGCTCATTCCCTGTTTTTTTCCCGTGATTATGGACAAATTACTTAGATCTTTGCGTTCCCGTACTTCTGTAAAACCAAGATAATAAACTTCACAGATCAATCGCACATTAATTAGCAGCAAAGCTTTCTGTTAATACTTTGTACTGACATAGCATTTTTACTCCAGTAGACCTCACAGCATTTATGTAAGTACTAATCCAAGGATTCCAGCTTTAACAAGCCTGTATTATTGGCAATAACTTGTAATAATAGACTGTTAAACGCTGGAAGAAACAGTGGAAACCATTTAGCCCAACCCTTCTTTTTACTGAAGAGGAAACAGGCACAGGCCTGTGTTTCATCGTGCTTTCCAATCTACTTACATATGAAATTCAAGACTCCTTCACGTGATATTAGTTGTAATATTAATATACATTTGTTTACAAAACACATAAAAAGCTAAGAATTCATTAATGCTTTTAAAAACAACAACAACAACAACAACAAATGTTTTGCTTCACTTTAGAGTAGCATTTGCATAAAAATTCTCAGACTCCTCAAGATCAAGCAGATGCATTGGTTTACTAGAGACTAGATAAAGTGAAAGGCCAGACTGGAAAAGCTCCTGGGTGGAGGTGAGGGAATGAGAGATAATTACGAAGATGCTTGAATGGATGTTTGAATCGATCGTTTTAAACCCCTACCACCGGCCAAGCCAGGAATAAGAGTTTCTGACCTCTAGGAGCTCACACTACGTGGGGGACAAAATACACGCATAAGATGAAGCCCAAGCCTGGCAGCACAGAGGCGCGTCATCATTCCGGAACGTTTGGGCGTTTTATATTTTTGTAGACATTTATCAATTTCCCTTGAATCCTCCGTTTTGTAGCCCGTATGGTTGTGTAAAGTAGTTTTCGATAATTTTAAAATTTCCTTTCTGATGTGCACTTTATTCATCTTTTATTTGCCGTTTGATCTCTCTCTCTCCTCCCTCCCCCAATGAGATTAGCTAATGGTTTATCGATTTCGTCAAATCTTAAAAAAAAAAAACCAACAGCTTGAAATTTCGTCCATCATTTGTATGTTCTTTTTTATTAGGGTCTATTGATAATGTGAAAGGTCGGGACTCTCTTTCCCTCTCCTCCCACTACGCTCCTCATCAGTTGATCCATGGCTTCCGTCAGATCTCAATAAATTTATCCTGGGTTCTGGGGGGCAGCGACCTTATACACGGGCCATTAGACCACCCCCACCCCACCTTTCTATCGCCAGCTCAGCCGCCTAGTACCCAAGAGCGACCTGCGCGCCACCAGCGGCGGGCGGAGGAAAACGGCCCGGCCGCAGGCGGTGATGGGGCCGGGTGCCTGAGGAAGAAATTTCCGCGGAGGCCCGGAGTACTTCGGCGAGCGGCGGCGGGCGGGGGCCGTGAGTGCGGAGTCGCTGACGGTCGTTAGAACTTCGGCCTCCTCCGCCGCCTCCGCCTCCGCCTCCTCTTCCTCCTCCTCCACAGAGGGAAGGCGACGAGCCCCCTCCCCTCTACTGGGCTCCGGGCCGCCTTCGGGCTCCGTCCCACCCGGGTCAGCGTTCTAGCGTCTCCATGGCGACCGGACGGGGCTGGATCCTCCGGCAGCACTGCAAGGGGCTGGTGCGGACAGCCGAGGAGATCCCGTGGCAGCTGCGCCTCCCGCCAGTCGACGCTGCCTGGGCCTCCCCTCCCGCGCCCCTCGACAGGGCCCCGGGGCCCTATTTCTTCCGGAGGCCCAGGTAACCTAGCCAGGGGGGGAGGAGGAACGGGAAGAGGAGGAGGAAAAGGGAAAGGAAGAGGGAGAGTAGAGGAAAGGAGAGGGGGAGGGGAGCCGAAGAGAAGCGGAGGGGAGGGGGTTGGGGGAGGGGAGGTGCACTGGCCTCTCGCGGTCGGCATTGGCCTCTAGGCCACCGAGACCTCCGGACCCCAGGGGAGAGAACCACACCCCACGCTTGCGCGGGAGTGAGACTAGGGGCTGGGGTCTCTCGCCTACACCATGTAGCCTCCGGGTTTCGTGGAGGGTGTGGCAGGGGCCGAAGGCGTGGGGAGGAATGCGTTGGGATCTCAGATCAGGAGCTGGGAGGCATCGCAGGTGGACAGTTTTATAGATGAGGAACCGAGGCCCAGAGACGTTAGAAGAGTGAATAGGAATCTTTCCTTTTGGGGCGTCTCTGTTGTTTCTTTTGTGCCAGCTACCTAGCAGAAGTTATTAACCTTTATTTTTAATTTTTGGTGTCATGGCCCCCTTTGGCAGTCTGGTGAATTCTGTGGACACCTCATTATATTGTTTTTAACGTTTTTTTGCTTATCTATTTATTTTATCTATTTATAGATATTGCATTTAACATACATTTTTTCAAATATTGAGTTTCAAATTCTCCCCCTCCCTTATCCGTTGAGAAGGCAAGCAATATATCAGTTACACATGTAGAGTCATGCAAAACATTTCCGTTATTACCCATGTTGTCCCCCCCTCAAAAAAAAGGAACATAAAGTGAAAAAAGTATGTTTCAATCGGTACTCAATTCATCAGTTCTCTCTTTCCAGGAAGTGGATAGCTTTCTAAAAAAATTTATTTTAAATCATGAGTCCTTTGGAATCGTCTTGGATCATTGTATTTTGGATTGGAATAGCCCAGTCTTTCACAGTTGTTCATCGTTATATTGCTATTGCTGTATAAAGTGTTGTTCTCCTGGTTCTGCTCATTTCATTTTGTATCAGTTCATATAAATGTTCCAGATTTTTCTGAAACCATTGTGTTAGTCGTTTTTATAGCATAAAACTCTTCTGTTGCAATCATACCGCAACTTGTTCAGCCATTCAGCAATTGGTAGGCATCCTCTCAATTTTCAATTCTTTGCCACCATAAAAAGAGCTGCTGTAAATATATTTGTACATATAGGTCCTTTCCCTTTTTCTTTGTTCTTTTGGAGATACAGACCTAGTAGTGGTAGTATTGGGTCAAAGGGTACATACAGTATTATAGCCTTATATTGTTTATAAATGCATAAAAATAAAATACATAGGTTTACAAAGGAAAACAATTATATTGGTATACAATTGCCCCAAAATTTTCAACATCAACTAAAACAAGTTTATGGGCCCCAGGTTAAGACCCTCTGGCTAGTGTCTTTTTATTCTTCCAGCATTTTCAAATCACTTGAACTCTTGGAGAAATCTGGAGGAAATTTGAAGAAATATCATACTTTTTATTTAATGGAAAGCTGCAGTAAGCCCCAAGAAATTTCACCATCTCCACATGACTGGACTTGGAGGAAGAGAGAGAGAGACACCCTGGCTACCAGAAATCTGTCAGTGAGGCAAACCTATATTGCTTAGCATCAGTCAAACTCCAGGGAAGCTTATGCTGGTGACTGTCTAAAAGGAAACTGTTGTCCAGAGTCTGTTCTCTGAAATAAGTTCTGTGCCATTTGTGCTTTCTTCTAATACCAAATATGAAAGGGATCTAGGCTGAGAAGGAATTTGGGACTTCTCCCCTGTTTTCTTTTGACTTGTGTTATTAAAACCTGGGGGAGGGTTGGGTCTAAAATATACCCATCCAAATCCTTATATGATTCGTAATATGCAGAGCAAAAGAAGACTTACTTAAGAGATGACATTAATTCAATTCAACAAACATTAAGCCCCTTCCTTGTGCTATCTAGGTTTGGCCCTGGGAGAATATGAAGACAGAGATAAACATGGATAATATAAAGACAGAAACCTAACGTTCTCTGCTGTCAAGACTTTTATGTTCTACTGGAGGTGAAACAAAATATATGCAAAATAATTTCCTTGGGAGAGAAGGAAGAGGAGAACAACAACTTGGGCCACTAGGGAAAGACTTGTCTAAGAGGTGACAGCTGAGTTCAGAAGCTTTTAAGGAAGGTAGAGATTGCAAGAGACAGAGGTGAGAGGAGAGATAGCATTCTAGTCATATGGGATAGTTTTTGCAAAGCCGTAGAGGCAGCAGACAGAATACCATATATAGATTGTAATATGGAGAACATACTGGAGCAGAGGGATCATTTAGCTCCTCTGCTTCTTGGTTTTTAAAGCCCTTCACAGTCTGGCTCCAACCTACTTTTCCATGGTTTATAGCGTATTACTCTTCTTTCTGAGGTTTGCATTCTAGTCAGACTGGCCTGTTTGCTATTAAAAAATATGATGTTGCTTCTCCTGCCTTTTTTCTTTGTAAATACCCTCCCCATGCCTGGAATGTACTGCCTTATCATTTCTGCCTCTTAGAGTTGTTGGCATCCTTCAAAACTCAGTTTGAGAGTCACCTCTTATAAGATAGTCTATCTTGATTCTCACCCAACCCCAGTTGCCATCCTTATCTCCCTAGAAATAACTTGGTAATATTCTATATACATAGTCCCCCCTACCCTGACTAGAACGCATGCTCCTTGAGTGCAGGGATTTTTGTTTCTTATGGGGTAACCAGGTGGTCATATCTAGATGTCTTAACAGCAGTTGATTATTGCAGGATGAATCTCAACACTGAGAAGAGGATAGTGATGAGATCACTGAAGAAGTGTGCAAAGAAGAGAAGAGGGCTTAGGAGAGATCCCTGGGTGCAGTCATGGGAAGGAGCAGGGAAATGGGTCATGGTTTGAAAATAAAACTCGGAAAGAACAGTGAGATAGGAAAAGCAGAAAAAAGCAGGGAAGAGTATTTAGGGGTAGTCCAGTGTCAGATACTGCCGAGAAGTCAAGAAGGATAAGGATGGAGAAAAAGCCGTTGGATTTAGCATAGTTAACCTTGGACAGTGTATATAAATGATGGAAATGCATATGACACAACCATATCTATAACTACTATTAACATGTCATGTAAAATTGTTAACAATGCACATTCAGATTATACTTTGCTCATTTCTCCCACTGTTTGTGCCTCGTCCTGAAATTGCTTTGTTATTTTGTATGTGTTTATATGCACATGTGGTCTCTCCCAATACTTTGTAAGCACTTGAGGGCACAGACTATTTCATTTTTGTCTTTGCATGCCTAATACCTGTCACAGTGCCTTAGAACATACTAGGTGCTTAATAACTGCTTGATTGATTTACTTACACTGAGTAAGAGAACTAGTACAAATGTTATTTATCCCTATTTTTATCATTATTGAAACTGAGAGGTTGAATGATTTGCTCCGGAATCACAGAGTTAGTAAGAGTATAGATTAGGATTAGAACCCATATCCCCTGATCCCAGATATGTACAGTGTTGGTTCCATTATATCACATACACACATTGGTAGCTTTTTAGTCTGATCAAGTAGGGCTATCTAACACAAATTCCAAATACTTTGGGGAATTGTTATATAACCTCAACACCCTTTTGGTACAAAATATCTCTGATTAGAAGCAGCTAGGTTGTGCAGTGGATAAAGTGCTGGGCCTGGAGTCAGGAACATCCAAGTTCAAATCCTGTCTCTTGACACTAGATTTGTGGTCTTGGGCAAATCACATAACCTTCATTTGCCTCAGTTTCTACAACTGGAAAATGGAATGGGGATAGTAATAGCTTGTACCTCCTAGGATTTTTGCAAGGATACAATGACTTAATGTTTGCAAAGAGCTTAGCATATATAGTGCCTGGAACATAGGCAGGCACTATATAAATTTTTTTATTGTGATGATTATGATTATTATAGTATGCCAGTTCTGCATGATTTGGTACAGGAATATATATCTCTTTTCCTTTGGGACTTTTATTTTTGCCCCTGCTGTTCCATTTCTTTGGTTTTACTTATTTTTGAAGATTCCTGTGTTTCTGTGGGGATACATACTTGAGAGAGTTGGAAAAGAAAGAAGACAGGGTAGTGTGTAACCAAAGTAAGCTTTTACAACTGTTCTAGGTGACCTAAGTGGAGACTTTTTCCACACTGGAAAGGATAGCTCTCACTTGGCAGAGGTGGCCTTTAAATCTGAATGCCTTTTGAAGTAAAATTACAATTAGAGTACTCTTCTTAGATAATATCTGTCTTGTCTTTTACTAGCATCCTAATGACTTGTCTTTCCCACTGGGTCAACAGATCTTCACAGATTAAAGGGATATTATGTTGCACCCATATTTTCTAGTTCACAGATAGTAAAATTATTCTGAGTTCTTAGCACAATTATCAGCTAGCCTCAGGAATTACAAATACCACAAACTCTGACAAATAGCATATTGAGAAGGCCACTAATAACTTGTTTAGAAGAAAAATGCCCTGGAACTCAAATAGGAAATGTGAATTTTAAATCAATTTGCCACTGTTACTGAAATTAGACTTTTTTGTTGCCTCTTTATAGGGGAGAACAGAAAGATTTTTATGTCTTCACCCTTTCGATACTTTTTAAGTTGAGTGAACTTAGTGACAACATGATATGATTAGAATGCCTTTTATTATGTTTGGCCCAGGAAGCTTGAGTGTAATCTGTGATTTGTGGGTTCATTAGTAAAGGAAAGACAATTAACTAAAAATCATTTTGTTGACTGATTATCGTCCAAACAATTGGCAATTGTTAGCATCTCCAGATAAAACAGGAAAATTAGATATTAGTAAGGAATGCGTGATTCTGTGTTTTAAAACAGGGTGTACTTACGGGAATCCACAAATTTGAAAATGCCTAAAATTTCTGAAATATAGAAGAAGAAATATAGAAAAAATTATAAAAATATTTTTCCTACTTAGTGTAGTTCATTTTAGTATAGTGCTATTTTAAAAACTAGGACTCAGAACCAGTTTTCTTTTGTTCTTTATTGTACTTGTTCACAAATGACAGATTAAAGGGTGTCACTTCAAAACATAAAGTGACTTATTTTTTCCTTCAACTAAAATTTTCATTTTGGATAGAAAATATGCATCAATAGTGTCTAGGAGTCAAATGTACATCTTAACCTTGTGGGCTATATGGACACGTGCATTTAGGTGTAAAGAACCTGCTGTATTGTTAATTGGCTACCTCTTGAAATAGAGGGTTAATACATTTTATGAAGTTAGAGATAACCTGTTTTTAATGGTACTTTAACAGTTAGGAAAGGATGATATGCTGGGAAGAAGCAAATTACTTTTCTTGGTCCTTTTTTTTTTAAATGAAGGGACTAGACAAGATCATCTGTACTTTTTTTTTTAGCTCTAGAATTCAGCTATGTGTAAAAAGATAATTGGATTTGAAAAGGAGTTGGGTTTGAGTCCCAGTTTTGCTACTTTTCAGATGGTGTTGAGCAAGTCTCCATTGTGTAATTTTGAATTGGGACTAGATACCTGCAATACTTTCCTCACAAGGTTGTTGTGAGGAAGCTGCTTTGTAAAAATTGTAAAAGAACTTCATATGTGAAATATCATTAAATTTGAAATGTTATTAAAAGAGGAGTGGGAATATTTAGTTCTTATTAAACGTTTCTATCCTTTTTTTGTAGTTTACCAGTGTTTGAGAATGCTATCATGCATAGATGACTTCATTTTAGTTCCATTTTGGAAATACTTACTATTGGTTATTCTTTGTTTATCGTATGTACACTGTTTATTTTACAAAAGAGAAACAACAGTTAAGTAAAAATACGTATTTACATAACTCTCAATTCACTCTAGTGAATTCCAGGGGCCATGTGGTAAAATTGTATATGAATTAGAGAGGTCTAGATTTGTATTTTTCTGGGAGAGGAAGAAAGTAAGCTTACTGTTTTATTTTTCATCACATACAGGTAAATATTGGTCAGTTTTAAAATAATTACTTATTTTCTGCCATCATATAATTGTTGTAGCTAGAGTTGGAACTGGCCAATGTCCATCAGAGATTAGTAGACAATGGTGAATAAAAATATGCTGACATGTCTCCAATTTGATGCTTTATTTTTATAGTTAACAATTTCTGTAGCTCTTGAAGATTTATAAATTGCTTTCTTCATAGTAACCCCAAGTAGGAAAGTAATCCTATGTAATCACTCGCATTTTACAGATGAAAAAGTGATTCACTTGTCTATAGTGTCATAGATAAGGTTAAAGTAGGGATTTGAACCCAGGTTTCTCTTGACTCGATCAACAAGTATTTTTAAAAATATATTTTCATTTATTTCATTAAGTATTCCCAGTTACATATAAAACATTTTTAACGTTCATTTAAAAAATTTTGAGTTTGAAATTCTCTCTTTCTCTCCTGCCCCTCTCCCAGCCCTTGAGAAGGCATTATATCAATTATACCTGTGAAATCATGTAAAACATATTTCATAGTAGCCATTCAGCAAGTATTTTTAAAAGACTGACTATATACCAGAGACTATACTAAATATTGGAAATGGAAAAATAAATCATTCCCTGCCCTCAAGGATTTTATATCTGAACTTACATCATGCCATGTTATGTTATGTCATGTCAGGTCAATCTTTCTCCAAATCCAGCATAATTTCCTTGATGATATCAGACTGCCAGGTTTGTTAGTTATCTTCTAGCAGTTTTTTTTTAAATGAATAAGTGAGAAAGATTGCTTAACCCCTCTCCCCCAAGGTATTTTAAAAACAGAAAAATCACCTTTTATTGTATTAAGAGCCCTGAATAAGCAGTTGTTCATCTCTCAGGATGAGAACAGAAATGTGAGAATAGACTTTATTCTATTATTTACTTATCTTGGAAGACAACATTTCATAGACTTCTTAGCTACAATATAGTTATATGAGGAACATTCATAGTTTGAGTCCTTCAAGTTAATATTATAACAGTTTATATTTACATAGTACTTTATAATTACTAAGATCTTAATGTACAGTACACTATCCTATTTGGGTTTTTTGTCAATCCCAAGACAGATATTTTGCAGATGAGGGTACTTAAGCTCAGAAAGGTGATTTAACTTGTCCCAGTGTCACCCCATAATAAATTTTGGGGCCATGGATTCTTAGTCCTGTTGGAATTTTTTTTTTTTACTATACTTCATATATTGCCTTTTCATTTCTTTCTTTTTCTTTTCATTTTTGGGTGCATTTGCAGTCTCCAGTTGGTATTTATATAACTTTAATTTCTTCCTGATTGTTTTCAGTAAGGGATCAGATGTCATGCTTAATCCTAAGCCTTCAGAGCAGTCTACCATGTGTGAAAGACATTGTGCAAAGTCATCCTCAAAACTTTCTATGCACATAGAAGGGTAAGTAACAGAAGTAGTCTGTCATTTTGACTGCCATTCCTTTTAGGAGGGAAGGAGATGTTGGGGGGAGAAGGGGTATGACACTATATATCAAATTGCTATTTTGGCTTTGAGTTCTTTAAAAATAGAAGGGGGGGGTGTGGGATGAATGTACAGTACAGAGGGGTTGATGTGAGTCATCAGCCTGTCATCATTATCATTTAGACTAGTTTTCTGAAACTAAATCTTTAAAAGTAGCAAGTAAATTTAATTTTCCTGTTGTTAAACTGCTTTTAACATTTATTCTCTCTTCTGAGTAGAGAGCAGTAGAAAGGGGGGAGAGAGCAGTTTTTTTTTTGCTTTGAAAGCAGAGTATTCTCTTGAATTATCTGATGTTAGATAGTTTGAAAGATCATCTTCCCTTCAGAACTTGTGCTTCAACAGCAAGTTTAGCATTATAGGATATTTCCTCTTTGTGATCAGATAAAATACTCTGTGAGATGTCAGGAAGCAGTGTACAATTTTCTAATGTGAATTTGAAAAATAATTGGATGCCAGAGAAGAAAAGCTAAAGGACCTCAGTTTTGTACTTAAACAGACCTAAACATTGGAGAAGTTCAGGAGATAGTATCTTTTGTGATAGATTTTTGAATAGCTGTATAATAATATATATTAGGGGAGGAAGTGGAGGGCATTTCTATAGTCAGTTTTTCTATAAGTATTTAAAAATATGAACTTTAAGGTTTACTTTTTTGAAGAACAGATTTTGCTTACTACATTATTTCAACTTCTTTTGTAAATGCAGTGACCTTTTCCTTCTATTTCTCTTCTGCCCCACCATATGAAATAATTAATTTAAAAGTATAACACACTGTTGATATGAAATATTGAATGAAAGGTGAGGGAAGGAAATAAGCATTTAGTAAGCGCCTACTCTGTGCCAGGCACTGTGTTAATCACTTTATTCAAATATTATCTCCTTTGATCTTACAACAGCTCTGGGAAGTAGAGTCTGATATTATCGTCACTTTACAGATGAGTTAGTTGAGGAAAGCAAGGTTTAGTGACTTTCCCAGGGTCATACAGGAAGCGTCTGAAACTAGATTTAAATTCAGGGCTTCCTGACTCCAGGTCTAGCACTCCATCCATTCTGTCATCTAGCTGCCTCAATGAATAAACTTCATAGAAACTTAGTGGAAGGTAATTAGAAGCAGCCTCTTTGGAGACTTATTAATGTCTTGTGAGGGCTTTCTTTTTTAGCTTTATTTGGAAAGGACACATGATTGGTAGAATTATAGCATTTCATGCTTGATTCCTTCTCTACTTCCTCATTTCTTCCTGTTTTGACAACTAGGTAAAATACAACAAAGTAGTGGTCACTTTCTGGTTTGCATTATTGACTTCTGTGCTGACTGAATCTCTCTTTGTTCTATTCTTTTTGGTTCTAAGTTACTTACCTTTAAATTTGTGGTCAGTAGTTCCCCTTATAAATACATTAGCACGATCAGTATGAAAACAATATTAGATCTTTACCTTTTAGGTTTTTAGATTAATGCTGAATTATATCTGAGTTACTATAGTGAGATACAGGTGTAAGATCTGAAGTATTTGGTCCAGAATTTTAGTCCTTTCTATATTCCAAATAACTAATTAGGTATTTAGCCTTGATACCTGTTACTAGTTATATATTACTGTGTAAGTTAAGATCCATTAATTTCTCTTAATGGTATGGGCATAATAAGAAATGATGCAAAGATCTGTGAAACTAGGATAGAATTCTGTTATTTAGTGAAGTTAATATCATAACTGCTCATCTGTGTTAATGAAAAGAGTAGCAGCACACAGTTACAGTTATCCCAGGAGAAGAATGGCTTGTGGTCTATCTTGTAAGTGACTTAAAAGAGATCCATTTTTAGTAAGGGTTATTCCTTTGAATATGGCTAGAAGGTGAAAATATTTTATTGTAAGTAACTTACTTGATATGCTCAAACTTGTTTGAAATTGATTATTCATTGTATTTATGCATTCTGTCCTAGAACCTTTTGTTACAACTGAAGTTTATCTGGTAACTTATTTATTTTAGTTTTTAAATTTATTTTAAACTTAAATACAAAATAAGAAAATAAAAACATTGCCATGTACACAGCAGGACATCAGAGAGGATTCAATATAAAGCAATATCTGGTAACTTTTAAATGAATTAATTTTTTGTTAGAGTCTATCTCATAAAAAATGCTCTGTTATTAATTCTTTTGCAGAATTTCATCTTCCTAATGGGGGAGTGAATAATGCTTAAGTACACAAATTGGGCTCCAATTTTCTGTTTGTATCCAAGTTTCATATCTATATCTATATATATACATCTATACATCTGTGTATATGTATGTTTGTATATACATACACACGACAATTAGCTAACCTTAAAATGTAAATTCCCTGGTCTAAAAAGGTTCCTAATTTGATTTTCTAATAATAGAGAAATGAAGTTTGAACTGACTTTCATTATTTGACCTGGTTATTGGCAAAATACATTTAAAATTGTGTTAAGACCAATTTTGTAGGAAATTTTTAGCAGAGAAGAACATCTTTACAAGTGACCTGTACCAGAGAAGAACTGCTCTGAGACCACACATAAACCAGAGTTGCATCTGATGTTTCCCAAAAACCAAAGGGACCAGACTTTTATTTTACTGTTCACTTTTCACCTTTCGACTTTTATCTGTAAGGTCTACTTACCAAAGGGGATGGCCCCCTTTTATTTTGTCAAAGTGCCTGTCAGTTTTTCCTCGTTTCCACTTACATTGTTTCCCCTTATAAGCTCCGTAGTTAAGAACCCTTGATAAAGTGTTTGTAATATCAGTTAGTGATTTCATTGAAGAGACTTTGTCTCTCAATAGAATCAAATGGGGGAATGTGAGAAGTGATTATTTCTCTCTTATATTTAATAACTAATTATTGTACCAGGATCAAAGTTTTCCCCTTTTCTACTTCCTTATCCAGAAATCAACCAGTGTTGGAAATTTTTCCAAAACACTTACCCAGCCAGGATGGCTGAAATCTAATCAAAGACAGTAACTAAGTTTGGGCTAACAGGTACATTTTTGCTCATTGTGTTTGCTCAGACAGGTCTGGTAAGTGTTGATTCTCCCTCTTCCTTTTGTCAGATAGATGATATGGAAATTGATAAGTCTCTTTGACCAAGATCTGGGTGACTGAAGTCATGTACCCCAAGACTCTTGTAATATAGTCCACCCTTTCATTGTAATGTTTATTCTTTCATTAATTGTTAACTAATCGGAATTGATTGCCACCCTCAGGAACACCTTCCTGTCAAAGGGCATATAAATTGTGAGCCCACCACCATGAGAGTTCTTTGGTCTTAGAGAGATGGCCAAATGACCGTCCTTTTATTAATAAATGTACTGGCCTTATTAATACAGTTATTTAATTACCCAGAAAAAGTAAATACATTAGAACTTTTTTTATAAAGCTGATTATCTGTGTTTTATGAGATGTGTTATATAAGGATTTTCTACTGAATTATACTTAAAGTTATTTAATGATGGTACTGACTAATTCTATTTACTTCTTTTTTGAAGAGTTTTCTTTGTTTCAGATTAACCTCCAAACTTCTTTAAATCATATTGATATATATATAGAAAGAAAATGAAATGTATTCAATATTTCCTAAAAAGACCTTCGCTGTGCTTCTTTGAAGTAATCCTGAAATCTTGAAAGCTATGCTAGTGGAATTTAAGGTCTTGTAGTTTCTATTAAAATGAGAACGCTATGTTTGAGTACCAGTACCTCCATAAGTATGGCGGTATTTATCATTAATAGACTCACCAGGTAATGAAATTGGCCTGGGCAAGTCAGGGAATTAGGAAAAATGATCATCAGTCCTGTTCAGGCCTTTTTCTGTCTTTCTAATGTTAGAAAAGAGAGAACAGGAGAGAACTAAGAAGAACTCATTATAAAAACTATAAATGTTTAATTAATTGTTGGTTCTGTTTGTTGTGCACAACTAATTCACTTGGCTATAGAGCCTCCTTAGGGCCTAGGATTTCCCAATCACCTGATGAATCAAGACCAGCTTGATTTTCTATCTCGAATGCGCATTGATGAGGCGGAGGCAGGATGGAAGCAACTCCGTTTATTTTTAGCAAAGCACTTAACTTATATAGTAAAATAACAGGAACTCTTTCTCAAGTTACAATGACGTATAGTCCATGCTGTGCTCAAGGACAGTGCATGCCCGTCCTGTGCGCTTATCTGACTCCAATCCCAGAATAGACTGCTAATGGCCATACAATAACTAGGGGAGTTAAAGATTGTTAAAGATCCATACAGTGGAGCACCGAACCAGGCCACCTTTGCTCAAAGATCAGCACCCAAGAGGGGTCTTCACCCATCAGTGAGACCTGTTGAACAGCCTGTGGCCCTCTACATCCTACAGATCTCCAACATCTTTTGATATAAATCAACAAATGAGATGGTATACTACTAGAAAAATTGAGTTACAATATTAGTGAGAGACAGCAAGTTGCTTTAGGATACTGAAAGAACCCACAAACTGCTACAGCCAGCAAATACTTATTTTACCAAGCAGAGACATGTTAGCCAAAGGCAAAACAATTTTATAGTATGAAGTCATTTGCGAAATACTATGGAGAATAATGCAAGATTGTGAATATCATCTCACAAAATAATGAAAAACAGCAGAGGGGAAATAAATTTGCAGGAAGTTTGGTGTTAGATCCAACTAAGCCATACTATCTGAAGAACAATTTTCAGATTAAACTTGGAAGGAGAGAACAAACAGGTGGAAACTGTAACAGATTTGTCAGCATTTCTGTAGTCACTTAGACAGCAATGGAATTACCACAGGTGAATTTGAAACTTACATACTGTTTGCGAAGTGGAAATGACGCTTAGGAAGATAAAGTTGGTAAGAGTTGTTGGACCAGACCAACTGTATACAGAAGAAGTTTGTGCTATGGTTGACACAATTGTAAAGCATT